ATTTCAGTTAATATTAATTTTTAATAATTCAAAAGTATCTATTATAGACTCTGCATCAGAAGTTTCATAATTCACTAAATTTCGCTTATAACATAATGCGAGAGCCCTAAAATGTGTACATTTTATCTCATCTGAATTTTAAATGTTACTGTTTAGACGTTCAAACTAACACTTATGATACTTTATATCAGAAGTATACTTACGTACAAAAAAGAGTAAGTTTTGATAGAAATTTATGTATTGCACTCTCCTTAATAACGATTAGGATTTGTTCATTTGGTTGTAATAATACTTAGACGTTATAAGAGTGTACGTAAGTTATAAATTCGCATCTAATGAATGCAAGTTAATAGGGATATTAGTAATAGACTGTAAAAAGAAATAAATACCTAATTTTTTCCTAAATCTGCAGCCCCTATGTACCATTTCTCCCCTGCATAATTACTTTGGTCTTATGAATTTAAACATTTACATAACATATATGCAGATATACGCTGGCCATTTTGCTTATTGTATGTATAAAAGTAAAATGTAACGGAGTTGCCGTCATTATTATTAAAGGTAATAAACCGGGTAAGGATTGATTTCCATATTTGTCCAACTCGTGTAATGTGTAAATATAATCTTTGCCCAGCATAACGGGTTTAGTGCACTCAAGTTACCGTGTTCCAAGGAAGATAGTAAGTTGTTTTATTTTCGTGTTTAATAACATCGGGTTTTATCTTACTTTATAATTGTTATTTTTAGTGGAACAATAACAGTTCAGCGCCATAATAAATGATAAGCATCAACTAAACATGAGTTGTTTTTCATCAAAAATTGTTAAAAAAAATAAAGTAAAATAAGGAATCAATAAGAAACCTAAAGATTAGTACCTATGTTTAGATTTGCAGATGATATAGCAGTATTAGCATCTAAATAGCAAAGAGGAGTTAGAGATAGCATTAAATAAAATGGAAGCGGTATTGACAAAACAGTATTGTATGAAAATAAATAAATGTAAAACAAAAATACTGGTTTGTCAGGGAAGAAAAAGTAGAGAAAGAGCGAATATAAAGATAGGAGACGAAAGTTTAGAAGAAGTGGCCGATTTTAGGTATCTAGGAAGTCAGATAAGTCAGGACGGAAGGAGTAGTAGAGATAAAAGGCAGAGGATAGCGCAGGGTCGAGTCGCTTTCAATAAAAAGAAAATTCCATAGTCGCGAACGACTTAAAAATTTGGAAAAGATTGTTAAAGGTGTATGTTTGGAGCGCGGCACTGTACGGGTGCAAAACATGGACTATGGGCGCGGCGGAAAAGAAAATGTTAAAAGCGTTCGAAATGTAGTGTTACATGCGAATGATGAGGATACCGTAGATAGAGAAGGTTAGAAATGAAGAGGTGTTAGAGAGAATAGGAGAACAGAGGATTCTATGGAAGTCAATAAAAAATAGGCGACATAGGTTGGTAGGACACCTTCTCAGGCATGAAGGTCTAGTCAGAGACATATTAGAGGCAGAAACAGGAGTTAGGAGGGGTAGAGGTAGACCTAGGTTAGATTACTGTTCACAAATAGTTAAGGATGTGGGATGTTCTAGTTATAAGGAAATGCGAAGATTAGCTCGGGATAGGAAAGAGCGGAGGTACGTGTCCAACCAGTCTTAAGACCTTATGATAATTATGAATCCTATGTAGTGGATCTATATGTTATTTACTTTATAGTATAGATACCAGTAATTCCTAATATATTTTGACATTTATTGCACAACTATTATGGTGGAGGCGCCGGGAAAATAGTGATTTTATTAATATCGACGATTATTTACAGCTTTCCCCACATTTTATACATAGTAATAGGAGTAATATTCTGTATTAATGAGTTCGGTTTATTCTTTCCTCATTAATTAGCGTTCTAAGAGACATTAAGAAAATAGAATTTATGATTGATTTGATAGAGTTCTCTACTCAAAGGGAGTATTTATTTACGTGTCTAGACAAGTACGTACATTCTGGAAGAACGATCACCGCTGTAGTTTGCATTAAGATTCCTAGCAGATCATAGACAAAAGNAGAGGACTCTATGGAAGTCAATAAAAAATAGGCGAGATAGGTTGGTAGGACACCTTCTCAGGCATAAAGGTCCGAGACATATTAGAGGCAAAAACAGGAGTAAGAGAAGTAGAGGTAGACCTAGATTAGATTACTGTTCACAAATAGTTAAGGATATGGGATGTTTCAGTTTTAAGGAAATGCGAAGATTTGATCAGGATAGGAAAGAGCGCAGGTACATGTCCAACCAGTCTTAGGACTGACGACCTTCTGATGATGAAGAAACCTATGTAGTGATTGTATATGTTTGTTATTAACTTCATGGTATACCAGTATTCCTAATATATTTCGACATTTATTGCACTATTATTAAGGTGGAGGCGCCGGGAAAATAGTGATTTTATTAATATCAATGATTATTTACAGCTTTCCCTACATTTTATACCTAGTAATAGAAGTAATGTTTTGTGTTAATGAGTTCGGTTTATTCTTTGCTCACTAATTGGCGTCGTAAGAAACATCAAGAAAATGGAATTTATAAATTCAATATATGATTGATTTGATAGAGTTCCCTATTCAAAGAGAGTATTTATGTACGTGTCTATATATATATGTACATTCTGGAAACAAGATCACCACTGGGGTTTACGTTAAGACCCCTAGCAGATCATAGACCAAAGACGGGAAAGTTGTATAATTAATTATTTGTAGGGATTGACGGCTTGATTTGACTTTCACGCCACTTGATTTGTCTAAACTTGAAATCAAGTCAAGAAGTTACATTTCAATAAAGTACTCCTTCAAATCGACTTGATTTTTTTAAGACTAATTCATTCGAACATCAATTTTTGGTAGCCATTTTCGAGTTTACAGAATTGCAAACTTTTTAAAATTAGTGGTGATGGCAATATTCTGTAATTATGTCATTATTGACTAAGCTGTCGAAGAAAATCTATCTCCCAACAGGCTCTAAATCAAATGTTTTCATGAAGTCTGTTGCACGGAATTTAAAACAAACGAAATCTCCATTTTTAGGATAAATATCAGCATATCGTTAACAAAGCTAAAAATGATCTTAAGTGCTAAACAGCCATTTCAATTTTTTCGATCGTTTTTATCAGGAATGAAACGCTATTTCTTGAAATCATCATCGTTGAAAGTGTACACAGCAATGCTTGCTGATCATTTCTCACTGTTTTTAACGAGATAGTTCGAGGACGGGCAATAATGCAACTGTGAGCGAAAAATTGGATGGACAATGGTTGGTTGGTCATTGATTAAGAGCAGAACAATGACGACCTGGTTGGAGCGTGTGTATGTTAGATACCTCCATGTATTACGGTGTAGTGCTCGTTGTTGTTACGAACTATCGAATCGGCGATGTGATGTATGGCGTGGCAGAGAACAAGAAGGCGAGAGCGACCGTCGACTATCTTTCGTTCTTCGACGTTTCATCGGATTCTCTTTACTCTTCCATCTCACCAACAACGCAACAACGAACGTCCATTGAGAGCAGTCGCTGGCAGGCCGGCCGGCCGCATGGCCGATGCGGCCCTTGTTGCGTAGGCTGTTGACGGACTGCTTCATTAGAGCGGCTTTCTGCAACATGCCCGACCCGTGTACACGTTGCTCTTATCACTCCGGCATTTGTACAACCTGTTCTTCATTTACCCTTTACTACGACGAGAACAGTGGCGGATTCAGTATATTTCCTATTAGCTATATCCTAAGGTTGGGCGATTATTAAATTTAACAACCGATTATAAGAAACTTATCGATTATCAAAAGGTTCAGATAGGATTAGGGTTGTCACCTTTTCAGGCTTTATATAAAGTATTTCTCGACGAAAAGGTTAAAAAAAAAATCGGTTGTCTGTAAAGTCCGTTTACTGACGATAGTTGAACGTGACAACGTCATAAGGAAATACTGATGGAATGGTTTCATTTTTCAAAAGAAAATTTTAATTTTATTTGCCCTTATAAATTGGGTCCAGTACGGATGCGGACAGTACCTGCCTCAACAAATTTCTACTCGAAACTACCTCCAGAACTGACGAAATTGTAAAGAACTTTGTCCATTATTCTTATCACATGCATATTTTATTTTGTTTGTTTTTGTTTTATTCTCCAAAAATTGTACCTTGTCTACGTGTCATCGTCATCACAAGGTCGTCAGTCCTGGTTGTACACGCACCTCCACTCTTACCTCTACCCCTGCTAACTCCCGTTTCTGCCTCCAATATGTCTTTGACTAGACCTTCATCGCTGAGACTACCAACCTACCAACCTATCTCGCTTATTTCTTATTGACTTCCATAGAATCTTCTGTTCTCCTATTCTTTCCAACACCTCTTCATTTCTAACCTTCTCTATTCCCAATATCCTCATCATTTGCTTGTAACACCACGTTTCGAACGCTTTTAACCTTTTCTTTTCCGTAGCTCCCACCGTCTGTTTGGCATTTCGAATTTGTAAATTAACCGTTTATGAGCATTGAAGTGACTTCTTTTTACTGAAGGCGACTCGACCCTGCGCTATCCTCTACTACTCCTTCAATCCTGACTTTTATCTATCCCTACCGTTGTACTGTCTTTAATGATGTTGATCATCTTCGGTCTATTAGATTAAAAAGTTGGGGTGACAGTGTGCATCCCTGTCTAACTCCCTGATATTTACTTCTGTATGTCTGTCTAAAGAAAATGATAAATAATCAGTCACTTTCTAAAAGGCATAAATTAACATTTTAAATTGAAGACAATCGAACAATTGAGATTGTACTTATGCACAGGTATACGGCCCTGGACAGCAAACACTCTCCCCTTCGGTACTCACTATATTTTATGACTTGTCACTGTCAGCGATTGATATCTTCGCTGCTCTCTTCGAATTCCCGTTGTAGATTCTATCGCCTTATTTCATGTTTCCCAGTACGGTCGCACTTGCATTTACATTTTCTTTTCTTTCTTATCCAGGTGAAGAAGTGGAGTGGGGTAGCAGAGAGGCCAATGCCATGGCGACGGACGAAGTGGTCGTCGCGTCACCGGCAGACACTGCACCTACGGATCCGGCACCCGAAGCCGCCGAATCTGCGGAAACTGCGCAAAAATCACCCTCACAAATCGAGACTAATTCTAATATTAAAAATACAAACTCGGAACCGGACAAACTGACACCACGTCTGAGGCTTAAGGTCGGTTTGGCCACCGATCCAGCACTAAAAACGCATCCGACGGTTGTCACAACATCCTCGGGTGTAAAATACGAATCTAACGCGTCTCCTCCAAATACAAGCGAATATTTGGCGTCTTTACCGCAAGCTCTTCAAACCGTTCTGACAAACACTCGATTTATCATACCGCCGACCATGACCGCGTTACCCGAACCTTCTGTTCCAACCGAACCCGTGGACGTGCCAAGGCAACCCCCCATTCCCGTCTTCTTATGCAGTCCATGCGGAATTCGTTTCTCTTCGCTGAGCACGCTGGAAGCTCATCAGACCTACTACTGTTCTCATCGCGCTAACAAAACCTCAAACGACACAGATGACAATAAAACGAATGCTGTGACGGAAACTTGTGATAATCAATCCGACCAGGATGCTGGCGAAAATCCCCCTAAAGGCGCACGAACAGGAAAACAGTACACTTGCACGCACTGTTCGTACAGCGCGGACAAGAAAGTCAGCCTGAATCGTCACATGCGAATGCATACGGTATCTCCGAGTCCTTCCGTCGCAAGCGTCGGAACTACAAATGGAGACAATAATCCTGACAATAGTCAGGATCGGTACTGTGCCGACTGTGATATAAGGTTCAGTTCTCAGAAAACATTCCGAGCTCACAAAATGCACTATTGCAGTTCGAGACACACGAACAAATCTGCCGGTGTGGTTCCGGGAGTTTCTGTGGCACAATCGACCAGTTCGAAAGCCGCGTCTAGTATCGCTTCCAATTCGAATCCCACATCTCCCGCTGACGCTAACACGTGCAGGACTCCGCCGTCTCCTTCTTGTAATAGTGCATCTTCGCAACAATCGTTCTTAGCGTTGCCAACGAATCCAATCCTTATCGTGCCATATTCGATTATTCGAGGTGCTTACATCTTCCCCGGCATCATGCCATCGGCCGGTCTACCAAATCCAGACACGCCCTGCTTCCTGCTGCCCAACGGTACCTTACAGCCCATGGCTCAAGCGGTTACGGTGCCGCCCGTGGCGGAACAACAGGATAACCAAAAATCTCAAAACAAACTGCGCGAACAACCGCCCAATAGCACCAAAGACGGTGGTGCATCAGCTGCCGTTGCGCCTCTTGATCTTAGCGTCAAACGGAATCCCAAATCGAAAGATCTTGCTGTGGACTTACGAGACGAACGCGTGAAAGAGTCGTCGTTGAAAAAATCTCCGACGCCTGATAAAAACGCGTACGTACCTGCCGCACATCATTCGCCATCGTCTAATTCGAAAAGCGAAACTTCGCCTAGTGTCTCGCCCAAACGCAAACAAGAACATGACTCGTCGAGGAGCAACAGTCCTCGAATGAGATCGACGCCAAAGTCGAACTTGGAAATGATTGACAAAAGCCAACCCAGTACCGACAATAAAAATGTTAAAATGCCTTACGGGATACCGCCTCTACATCCGCTTCTTCTTCGGCCGGGAGGATTGCCACTCCTTGCTCCTGATATACAGCTGAGGTTGGCTGCCGGCGAATTGCCAGACATTTCCGTAACTGCACCTCAAGTCCTCGTCAAACAAGGAGTCTCCAAGTGCAAGGAATGTAACATAGTTTTTTGTAAACACGAAAATTATCTCATACACAAGAAGCACTACTGTTCGGTGCGAATCCAAGAGGAAGACACGAAAACGTCGGTCAGTCCTCCGGCAAGTCCGAGAAGTACGGGCACCAATAGTCCCGCGGGACAATACCAGCAGCTCATTTGTCTTGCTTGTGGTATAAAGTTCACATCTCTGGATAATCTGAATGCTCATCAGGCGTACTATTGTTTGAAACGGGGCGAATTAGAAATTAGACGTTGCAGCAAGTGCAGAGCCGTTGCGGAACCGGGTCATCAGTGTCCCGTTACGCCGGGACCTTTGACCGGATGGAAATGTCCTTGTTGTGACGTAATAAGTCCCACTTCTAACGCCGCTCAAAGGCATATGGACACCCATAACGGCGTCAAAGCGTACCGTTGTACTATTTGCAGGTACAAAGGGAATACTCTACGGGGTATGAGAACCCATATAAGGATGCACTTCGATAAGCGATCGCCAGATTTACAGGTAAGATTTACAATTTTTTTATTTCCCTATCAAAATTTCGACTGCATACGATTAATGTTACCGTACTAATGTATAATGAGTCATTTTGGTTACGAGATTTAGTTACAAGATACAGGAAAATTATAACGAACAACCAGCTCAAAAATTGGATGTTATAATCGTTTAAATGAAATTTAATATTTAGAGTTAGACCGTTATACGTTAATCAATGTTTTCTCAGCGATTTGATGTTTTATTCTATTATTTTACAGCAAAAAGTAATTAATTTATTCTTGAGGTATTAATCTTTGACGCTTTTAAATTTCAAATTAATCAATAGTAATTATGAATATATCATAGTATTTATAAATACAAATAACAAATACAATAACTGATTAGGGTGCATTTTCTTGAAAAGTTTTAAGATGCGTATACAAAAGAAAATACGTCGTGTAATTATACAACACGCTACTGAAGTGAAACTTCTTCAAACACACAAACATACCGGGATAGGGGTTAAGGAATTGATTTAATGGTATTATTTGTACACGATGCTTCGCACGGGTGCAATGCTGATTGTAAATATACTATACAATGTCTTTATATACGACAATCACAGCTTTTTGCCATTGGACAATACAAACCGGTCACAACCGCTATGTCCCTGCATTTTAAGTCTGTAATATCTTCGAAAATATTCATTTAAATTACATGCTGTAAAGGGCCATATTGATCTATATTAAATGCATAATGTATTTAAAAGTACCTAATTGTATAAGGATTAATGCTGTATTGCTTAAAATCGTTTCGTAAATAAGCCATTACTTCTCGTAAAAAGTAAAGGATAAAAAATGGTTATTGTGGGTTTCCCTTAGAGATAGACGTATACCATCCCGGACTTTTTTGTAGACCTTTTTAAGATGTAAAATTCTGTAGTATATTATTTTGATCTATCTCGTAGGGTTCAACCAGCGTTTGCAATGTAAGCGCAAAAATGTGTTTATTTACGACATCACATTACAAACGTCTAAAATTATCAGTGTTTCTCTACTATATTATGCATGTATTATACATATAAACCTTCCTCTTTAATTACTCTATCTATTAAAAAAAACGCATTAAAATCCGTTGCGTAGTTTTAAAGATCTGAGCATAGATAGGGACAGACAGCGGGGGAAATACCGAGCGTAAAGAAGTTTCACTTCAAAAAAATACATTTCCTGAAACAATTTCAGAACTTTATCATAAAAGTACAATTACTATTACTTCTGCAAATAATTTAATTTGCCTATATATATTGAACAAATGGAATAGCTTTTACCTTTAAATCGGTAACACTAATCAGAATGGTACTAATGTCCGTAGTACAATGATAGGAGAAAGATTTTTTTTTTTAAATCAGGAAGAAAAATACATCAATTACATCCTGGAAGATGACGGTACGAAAATAGTGGAAGCCAATATGGCTCCAACATTAGGCACTTCCGGAATAGAGGAAAGAACTGTTTCTCCCGGTATCGAAAGCAAAATAGATATTGTACATTACTGTAGCCATTGCTCGTTCAGTTCATCTAATAAGACAAGTTTAATACGTCATATACAAGTAACGCATAGTCCAGCAAGTGCAGAATCGTTAACGAACGGCTCGTCCGAGAAAAACTCCAGATCGATGCCTGCGCTCGAAGAAGACGAGGAGATACTAGTCAAAAAGGAAGCGATAGAACCGGAAGTAATTATCGCTCCGATGGACGAAACTATAAAATCGGAATTTTCAGACACATCACCAGAGAATACGAATACAAAATCCGAAACGGAAGCAGAGATTCTGAAAGAGGCTGTTAAAGCTGGACCTAAATATTGCAAGTCGTGTGATATTTCCTTCAACTATTATTCAACGTACATAGCACATAAACAGTTTTACTGCTCTAGCCACGCTGGCGAATTATCTGCAGGAAATTCTAATAACAACAATCAAACTTCTCACACTACAACAGAAGCTAGCGTGTTATAAAGTAGCGATAATAATTGATTAATTAATTAATTGAAGTTTCTTGTTTGTGAATCGTCTGTAGTTTCTTGTAATTAATTTGGATGATGGAATATCTCGAGCGGTTGTATACACTATTATCGATTGATGTACTATTAGCAGGTGTGTTAAACAAAAGGAATTAAGGTGCTACAGTATATAAATGTATATAAATACACACAAAACGAACACTTTTATTTAGTGAGTGACCGTGAGGTTTTTTGTTATTTGTATAGAATGTTTTTGTTACTCTTTTGTACATTTATTTGTAAAATTATAATAATTTTATTGTTCTCGCCGCACATCATTCGCCATCGTCTAATTCGAAAAGCGAAACTTCGCCTAGTGTCTCGCCCAAACGCAAACAAGAACATGACTCGTCGAGGAGCAACAGTCCTCGAATGAGATCGACGCCAAAGTCGAACTTGGAAATGATTGACAAAAGCCAACCCAGTACCGACAATAAAAATGTTAAAATGCCTTACGGGATACCGCCTCTACATCCGCTTCTTCTTCGGCCGGGAGGATTGCCACTCCTTGCTCCTGATATACAGCTGAGGTTGGCTGCCGGCGAATTGCCAGACATTTCCGTAACTGCACCTCAAGTCCTCGTCAAACAAGGAGTCTCCAAGTGCAAGGAATGTAACATAGTTTTTTGTAAACACGAAAATTATCTCATACACAAGAAGCACTACTGTTCGGTGCGAATCCAAGAGGAAGACACGAAAACGTCGGTCAGTCCTCCGGCAAGTCCGAGAAGTACGGGCACCAATAGTCCCGCGGGACAATACCAGCAGCTCATTTGTCTTGCTTGTGGTATAAAGTTCACATCTCTGGATAATCTGAATGCTCATCAGGCGTACTATTGTTTGAAACGGGGCGAATTAGAAATTAGACGTTGCAGCAAATGCAGAGCCGTTGCGGAACCGGGTCATCAGTGTCCCGTTACGCCGGGACCTTTGACCGGATGGAAATGTCCTTGTTGTGACGTAATAAGTCCCACTTCTAACGCCGCTCAAAGGCATATGGACACCCATAACGGCGTCAAAGCGTACCGTTGTACTATTTGCAGGTACAAAGGGAATACTCTACGGGGTATGAGAACCCATATAAGGATGCACTTC